TTACCAGGGAGGGGTCCCTCTTCTGTTCGGGGAGGCATACCTCAAGGGCCCTGGTGGGTTCAAAATGGGGCCGAGGAAGTGGAGAAGAGCTCGAAGGAAGGCTTTGTGAAATCATGAAGGCGGTAGCTAACGATAAGAGCCAGACTGGAGAGATAATGGGAATGAGGAGAGGCGAGACAGTCAGACGAGGGATTGACAATAGTTTTCATGGAATAACTTATTGTCATTTCAAGCATATTAGTAGGTATACACATGGTTAGACTCGCCACAGAGAGGCGAGTCTATTGCTGTAAAGATCTTTCCATTTTACCCGCTTTCAAGGAAGTTATAATGGTGCGACGGTTTGCGACGCTACAGAACCGTCGCAACGCGTAGATGTTTCAAAAGTTAGGAGCAGTATTGTAGAAATATTGGGTTTGAAGTATAGAATCAAGCACCTGTGAATAAGGAAAGCTATTCCGCCTCCTCACTGGAACCGCTAGCCACATATATTGTTACATAATGTAAGCTGGATTATAATTTCGTAGCATACAAATGTGTATGTAAAGGTTACGTCCAGAACACTTCAGTGAAAGACTTGTAACACTCAGGATTGCCAGGTAAAGTTGATGCTATCATCCTTGAAAGTATATTAGCAGTTGAAAAGCACTGGAAAAAATTAGTCACAGTGAGGGTCATATGCATTTTCATCTTACGGACGTTGCAGTAACCGACCATCCTGGGAACAGAGGACCGAAGAATGGCAACCGAATGGCAGCCATGCCGTTACGTGCATTTTGCCATTCTGTAGACAGGTCGGATAACGTAGACACCGAAAATCTCCTGATCGTGTTGAGGGTTACGTGCAGTCTGCCGCTCTGCGACTTGAACACCGAAAATCACTGAGCTGCATTAGGTGTTGCACTTATTTGTCATCCTATGGCATAGATGTAACAGCTACGAAAATGATCCGACCGCGTAGAGTTAGGCTTGACTTGTAATCTTAACACACAGAGAAAAAACGAAACGTAATAAGGATAAAGGATAAAGCATTTGCCGTTGATCAATCCCTTTTTGGGATGCGGCACGCATTCTACTTCCATTTGTACATTCGTAGTGGCGTTTGAATGCGATGTGGCCTATACAATGACTTGCGGGGGCCAGCCGATGTACAAGTCAGTGTTTTTATCCTCCCAGACAAGTCTGGTACCAATTAACCGACTCACGGAGGGATGGAAGGCTTAGGTTAGTCTGGACGACCCACTCTTCCCTGGATTCACCGAACTGCGCGCGTGCTAGCTATGTATAAACAACGCCACTTGCCACTACACTACTTTGCCCCAACGAAGAAGGCCACGTCTGTTTTGTACTAAAACTAAACACTAACTTGTGAGAAGTTTATACTTTACACATGGACATGGAAGCCTTTCAACTATACAGAGGGTTACTCACCAATTTAATCCACGTTCAGATGACGCATAATCAGCACGTAAGTGAATGCGAACACACTGGGAGCTTTGTTGTCTGTCGTCCAACAGGCAGACGTGGGGGCCAATAGACGCTTGAAAAAATAATCCCATCTTGGGAGGTTCAAAGTAAGCGTGGTTTCAATGCTACAGGTGATCAGAGTTAATAGTAAAGAGAATACACATGTAGTGCATCCAACCATGGTTAAGGGTTGCATGCGGCTTGTATTTCTACGCTAGACGTGGTGTAACATGCACTCAAACTGTTCAACTATGTTTGCGGTTATGTTTAGTTTTTTGGTCAAACTTTATGGCAGCACCCAAAATCAGTCACGTAGAGAATTACGTGACTTCCCATGGTACGGGCAGATGGCACAAAATTGTTGTCAAGAAGTCAGGCTTAAAAGCGCTGAGCAATTTTTTTTCCAAAGCTGCCGTTCCAATCACTGCCTCTCGGCACATTTCAACTAGTTTTCTACTATTTCCCCACGCATTTCACCTTTGATTCCTAACTTCACTAGCTTTCTGTTTTGAAGCGTTTTTTTCGCATCATCATAGGAAAGTCCTCCATAAAAGCGATCCCTGTTGCGAAGGAGCGTCAAATCCGACTTCCAGCCTGAATGAGTAATTTATTTTTCAAAATGCATTTGTTCATCTTCTTATTGGTAAGTTCTGCTAGTGTCGCTGCTTTATAGTTCTGTCTCGAGGTTGTCAGGCCGAAAGTTAATAATCACTAACGTTCACATCGTTTGCAAAGGTCTAAACGTGGCTGAAAGGTTAAGAGTTGCATGCTATCCTGTCAAAGCCCACTCCTCTCTTGCGCTTCTGCGTTCCTCACATCCTGTCAGCAACGCATGGAAATTACGCAGAAATTAAAAGTTATGGACTTTCGCAAAGTTCCCAGCACAAAGTGTAGCGTAGCGCTACACAAAGTACTACGCGTTCCCGACAGGGAGTCAGAAACCGAAACACTAAAGGCGAGTGGGCGTGTGTCAGGATAGCGTGCAACTCTTGAGCTTTCTTCATCAAACGAAGCACAAGTAGGAGGCGAAAGAGTAGTAACACGCTGATTAGAATGACATGATCAAGTCTTTCAGATATGGCGTGTTATTTCGCTTGTCAATGGAAAGCCTCAAGGTTCGCTGCTGTGTTTTCTGGAAAATTGTTGACCTTCATTGTTTCCGTTCTTGTTCTTCAGAAACGAGCTGTAGTAAGAATGTTCCTCAGGACATTGAAAACGCAATTGTTGATGGCGTGAAACATGCACAGAAATATTATTTTGGATGGTCACTAGAAGTAGTGAGTTATTCTGTATAATCTGACGTGCTACTAGGGTTGTACCTCACTCCTTTTGTCAACTAACACAAAATTCGTAAAAAAAAAGATCATTCTTAACAGGTACCACACCGAATTTTGAACGAGTAATGTCGTAGACGGTTTCGAGTAACACCCCTCCTTGGTTTCCTGATATGCTAATGACGATAACTATAGACTTCTCCATCGTAGCTAATCGCAGTGAAACCTACAAAGAATCTGCCGTCGGAATCAGATTATACGCTCACATGGTAACTAGGAGATTGTAACTTCAGTAGTAAACCTCTACCATACCCCTGGGCGTCGAATAAAATGCGTGTGCAATGAAAATGCACACCCACACCGCAATTCACGCCAACGACTTCGAATTCTGCGCCCCACTGGGAATCGCCGTCCGCGAACAACACGCCGAATCTTCGTAGTAAATGACGAAAGTTTTAGGGAAAGTTGAAAAGAAGAACAGAAGATCAGGTGAAACTCGGGTTCGGGGGGCCACGCGATGGCGCGGCGCTGTTTTCGTCTGCTCTACCAAGGCTTAGTCACCGATGGCGCGTATTTTGAAACTGCCACATAATGGCGAAAGAGTAACTGTCCCTGTGGACTAAGCCTTGGAGGAGCAGACGAACAGAGCGCCGCGCCATCGCGTGCCCCCCCCCCCCCCCCCCCCGAAGATCATCATGTACTGCATAGTCCATGTTTTCGATAGCATTGTGCCGTAGCAGAGTTCATTACACTTGTGTTGTCAAATTTGTAAACTCTTATTAGGTGCGCGCTCATGTCGTCGGGTGGGGCGTCGTTATGCGGACTTAGGCCTGAGAGGAGGAGAACTTTCAGGGAAGTTAGAATTGCTTATACACCTCCTCCCTAGTCCCCTGTGACGTAGTCTTGGGCAGGGTGAAAATCGTGTCGAGGAAATAACCGCCTCTTTACGACCCCCCTCCAAAACATGGACTCTGATACGACCCCTTTTTGTCCTCTGCACATCCGGTTTCATATCAAAAAATGCTAGTTTCAGATGTGCGAGAGGGACGCAGCGCCGCTGCCACGCAAATGCGGCTTGATCCAAATGCTAGATTCAATTCTGCTCAGATTAGGTTCTCCTTCTTTCCTTTAAAGACATTTAACCTTTGCCACATTGGCCGGAAAGTAGAACATTGAAGGAGGTACTGCCCCTACACAGTTGAACAGTCTCGCGCTCCAGTATAGCGGCGCTAACTACCCGCGATCGCGTCGCGCGCTGTGCCTAGAGCGCGCTAGTTGGAAAAATCGTCAAATGTACCCCCTATTTAAAGGACTATAACTTTCTTCATTGATAACCATTTCAGAAAGTGAAGGCAGCTTTTGAATGCACAAGACTTCTAGTTTCTAAATTGTGCTGAGCGTTTTTCTAAGCACGCCTATTCTCGAGAGTGGGAGACGTCGAGAAATTGTCGAGGAAATTGAAATTTACATGCGAGTTCCCACTCTTTGGAAGACAGTAGCTGTCTTCATTGGCAATGCTTTGAAAATCGGAGGAAAGCGTTGTAAAGTAGAAGATTTACGCTTTCTGATAGGTGCTCCAGTTGTTTCGAACGCTTTCTAGTTCGCGAGAAATCTGCGTCGAGGAAATGTCAAGGAAATTTTCGAAGCCACTCGAAAACTCTATTACTCCCTCGCCGTAGTAGGGAACTTCTTTGAACACCTTCAAAATACTTCTGTACACGTCAGTTCGATGGAGTAAATTGAAAATGATGCACTTGGCGCGGATCCATTCCGTTCTTGTATGCGCCATGCAGTGACCCCACTCGGAGTCATTGGGAAGGTGTTTTGTCCTAGTGACGACTTGCTTAAGCACACCAAAAGATATTTCCAGTATTAACTAATTAGGATAACTCTTGTGGTCATAGTGATGTCTGATCATTCCTTTATTCAAATCGCTTCCTTTCCAACCCGTTCTGATGAATGACACGCTTGCGGTTGCAGGATCTGATGATGCCAAGCTGAATCTGCCTGTTTTGAACTTTCTACAAGATGCTGTTCCTCCACTAAGTTCTCGAAGCATGTACATCATTCTAGAGTAGATACTCGCTGCCCTTTCCCTACGATTCTTTTGCAGGACGCGTTGCCTTCCTATGCCACACTGATCACTACGAACCAACGAACCAACACACACTTTCCATTTGAATTTTAATTCCAGACAGGTGTGAGATATTATTTGCATTAGGCTAACTACAACACTTGTGAAAGTAATGATGACAGCAAATAAGTGGCAGCAGCACCGTTGTGTCCGTTGATGACCCTTTTGATTACGACCCCCTCCCAACTCTCATCGGAGCAAATACGACCCCCTGTCGAGGATTTCCTCGACCGTTATTCACCCTGCTTGAGGGCATTATATGGGAGAGTGATGCGGCTGTGTGAGCTCTTTAAAGGAAGCGGTCACGATAAGTCTCATAGGCGACGATTAAGAAAGCTGTGCTGCTCGCGGGAGTGTGGTAGGGTCCTGCCCAGTGTTATAACACGTGAAGTTTCAGTGGCAGTGGCGCTTATCAACGGAGTGATAAGGCGCCGAAATCCACTTCCGTTCAGCAAAAACCAAGACTTATCGATGTGGAAAGGGGTGCGATAAGAGCGTGCTAGATATGATACCGTTATCGTTATCGTCCCGTTTTCATTCTGGAGTGCACCTCTTATCAAGCAGCCTTCTTATCTCATCGTATCATATCTTCCATGGGCTTACACTCGTCCAACAATTACTGCCTCACACCTTATCGATTGATAACGCGAGGGTAGCAAATCCAGCGTGGAAGCCAGCGGTCAACCCTAGGTTCCTACAAGTAGGCAAGAGCCAGGGGTCGTACTTGGATGGACCCGGAGCGGGGGGTCGTACTCTCTCGGTGGCCGGCAGTGGGATTTGTGGTAATCTCCCTACTGATCATAACCATGTTTCAGGAAGAGCATGAGAAAGGAAGACTTGCAGAAACAGCAGCTGCAAGACATGTAGCATCGTTCAAAGAAGTACTCCCACCATGACATGGGTCCACCCACGAAACCACATTTGAAACTAAAGTGTAGCTGGAGTATTGCCTAAGACAACATGGACAATAGTCACCACATTACGTTTACGCAAGATAATTGATGCTAGAGCATCTGTAAGCCGCTTCCTTCTGAATGAGCTTTCAAATGAGTCAGCGAATCAGGAGTGCGACCGAGGCGTGGCGCACACCAAGGCAGGGGGAAATCAGTGCAAGCGCATGCACAAAGCATTCTAACACATCCTATGGTCAGCACGATATCTTTTCCCTGGACGTTGCGGCCAGTGAAACCTAAAAAAACCGCTTTCTTAAGAGAATGGCTCGGAGAATGCCCCTCAAAAAAATGGCAGCAAGGGACTGTATTTTGTTAACTTATCACTTTTTCGGGCTCTTGAAAAAGCTTGATCTCATTTGTTCTCATTATACTGTGTACTTTCCCAAATAAAATGAGTTGGGTGAAAGGAAGTTCTGTGGGGCGCGGGCGCCCGGCGCGCGCGGCGGGGAATCGTTTAAGGTTGAAAAGTCGCATTTGCACAGAAAAAAGTTCCAACGTGCTAAATTTTTACTAAATTAGCTTTCGATGAATTTTCAGCCATGATTGGAGAGAGAATGATTTGAATTTTTTAAATCAAATAACTCCGGCGCAAAAGCTCGAATATGAAGAAAGTTATAGCCCTAAAAAGAGGAAGGTGAAAATTGTAGTGCAAATTCATTTCTTGCTCAATAACTTAATTATTTCAGATTGTTTAAGAACAAATCCGCTCTACTTAAGAAGGATGACCGTCGGTGATCCAGAATCCACCTCCGTCTTGCGAGGAACCTGAAATTTTCCAAGGAAAAATTCCTATACTTCTCAATTTCCCATTTCGACATCCTATTTCCATTCGCAATATGGCTGGGAGGGGGGACACTCTGTAGAAACGTCTCTGGGACTAAGCCTGCGCATTTTGTTTAGTCCTGATCTCGTGAAGGATGTACTTCACTTTGATTAGTCCTGATCTCGTGAAGTTTGAAATGTTCTATTATTTTATACTTTTCCAGGGTGAAAAGAAACCTCATTATAGAGATAAAAGGAATAAAAAATTGGTATGAATTGTGTCTTCATAAAAATTAGACACAGGGGGGTCGTACCAAATCGCCCATGGAGGGGGGGGGTCGTAAAAAAATCCAGAATGTAGCAACGATAGGACCGACCCTGCTGGAAGCCTGTGATCGCTTCCTTTAATTCTGAAATGGCAATGTGAAACATGCGATCTTTCGTGAATCCTCTCTATTTCCGACCAGAAACATTCATCGACCCTTGTTGGAAGCAGAAGAATTCAGTAATTAATGCGTTACGCAGCTTTGGCGTGAATCGCGGTGTGGTACGCATTACATCTGCACAACACAGTTTATGTGACGCCTAGGGATTATGGTAAATGTTTGCCGACCTACTCAAGTTACATTATTGTCATGGTAACATATCGCTCAAAAGTCAATGCGAATGCAGCCGTCAGACAACGCGTTACTCCATCATATAGAGAATTAATTAGCCCAAATGCTTCATGAAATGTTATATCGTCTGGATTCCAGTGGTTTATGATTGGCCGTCTAGACCAGAACTGGCACGAACAGAAATGGCGTAATTGGAAATCACCAGACTATTCGAAAAGACAAGGTCGTTACATTGCTTTTTTTCAGGCTTCTTTTATTCAACTGTCACACCCCAAGACCTCAAAATTTTATTTTTCGTCGAAACTTTGCTTATAGAGGTAATTTTGATGCCTTGATTACGAGAATGGCACTTATTTTTAGCGGTGGCGCCATCTGGCGCCAGTTGGCGCCACCTTGTCACGACACATGTTTTCACTAAAAAATTGTATAGGGGTTATTGCCGATTCCCATTACGAATATTGACAATCGTCCTTTCCGCTTGTTGTCGCACTCTCTGCGTCCTCACCCATGATGACTAGCCTTGAGGACGAGTGTGCGTCGGTATACGGACTGCTTGCACTCCCCTCTAGGCTCTCTGACTGCGAACGGTTATAGCGCAGAGAAAAGGGGGACTCCCGATGACTCAGGCATTCTCGCGCCGTCTCTGCCCTCTCCTCGGAGAGACCACTGCATCTCTACCCCCAGCCGGCGAGAGACATGATCGATCGAATGCGGTGAGAGCACCATCGTTCGGTGGCAGCGCGGTTCCACGTGAACCAAACATGACTGGATTGGCGCCCCTCGATTGCAGAAGGGTGACGACCGATATTATTATTCCTAGAGGACTCAAACAAACCCGTTGAACAAATTACAGTCGACAAAAAAAATATCGTCTAACCCTTACTGAGGTTATAAATAGTGTAATACTGCTCAGTTTTTAAAGTTTTACTTGGGAAAGCTGATGATGCTGCGATTCAGGAACCTACTTCAGGATTTCACAAGGTCTTAGAAACCTAGCCTTGATTCTCAACCGATCCCTATACGTTTCTTTTACCCTTTTTCTCAGTCGAGTTCCCTTTTTCAAGCATCACCGTGCGCGCCCTCAGTGCCACAGCGCACTCCTCTCATTCACGTGACTGTGAATCATCGCGAGAGCCAGGCAAGGGCACACCACTGAGCGGTGTACCGGTGAGTCAGCGCTGATGTCACCGCTCCAGAGCACAGCAGTTAGAGACTCATCTTGGCGGGAGTGCGCAGACGAGAGCAGAAAAATGGGCGCGCGGTCGGCGGAATTTGAAGGCCGGAGTGCAAGTAGTCCGTAAACCGATGGGGAGAGGGGGCGAGGTGAGTAAGTTAGTCATCCTGTGGTCTCACATGAGGTCAATATTTGTCAAACAGAGCTGAGTTCAATCCGATCCGGATTTCCCACCCCCCCCCGCTGTATCGTTAGTCTTGGGCAATGCATGGCGTGAGGCCCAGACGCCAAAAACGTTTAAGCGCGAAGACAAAAACAATGTACATATTCGTAAACAGGGACGCCAAAAATTCCTCAGAGAAGTTTACATAAGTTGGTCGGATGAAGATCAGTGTCGGACAACGCAAACGGTGACAGGCAGCGGGCTCATGCAACAATGGCCCGAGAGTTGTCAGGCCATATTTCAAAGCCCGTCCGTCATGCCTATCCCCTTCGGAGCTTGTTGCATACGGCCCCAGACAGCGCTGCTGAAAAATGTCATTTTCGTGATCAGGGCATCGAATTACCCCTATGGGCAAAGTTTCGACGAAAAATAAAATTTTGAGATTTTGGGGTTGTAATAGTTGAATAGTGCCCTGATACCTTTCATTTCGAAAAGAACCTAGTAGTACATGATAAATTTCTCTTTTCTGCTGGTGAATAGAGATCATCGGTTCACATGCTACCAGTGCTTTTTTTAGCGAACTCGATGGATGCTTGGTGAAGACGGTGTCTGGTATGTTTTTGGGTGCACGTGGCATGGTAAGCTTAAGTTGGCTTGTGTGAATGATTCACAAAACATCTCACGCTCTGAAAGCTATGCTTGAGACATGTTTTTTTGTTTGTTGTTAAATATTATTAGTGCTTGAGACAATTCTGCCAAAAATTTGGCTTTCTTTCATCTTTCATGTTTTTAGATTCTTCGTGCTAGTGGCGTTGGATGTGGTATGTGGCTAGTGACGATACAAGATCTTCAGCACAATGTATCACTCTACTGCTACTTTGACACAATGTGAGTAGACATAGGCTCAGTAGGCGACGTTCATTCATGCATTTCAGCACGAAAACTCACTTGCCACGACGTTAGCCTGGTAAAACGGATCCACACGCCTCGATAAGCGTTGCAACAGAATGCTCGAAAGAGTTCATTAGTTAATCAAAATACACGTACTCTATAAAATGCCAAAGAAGTAATCTTGGACAACACTTAGCCTTTATTGTTCTAACTTTCCTAGGGGAGGGCTCATTTTCCTAGTAAAAAACACATGAGAACTAGAAATGTAGTAGGGTAATTAGTACTCTCTTGCGTATACAACCGACAAAATGCCTTTCTTATTTCCTTGTATTTTCTCACGTATTCTATCTGATTAAGCCCTTTCTCATTGTTTTTGCTTTATCCATAGCTTTTCCCTCTGCCGTCGTTCTTATTGTGTGGCAAAGTGTACTCTTCATGCAATAAATAATCAACGACGACAATCATCTAGCAGCTACTGCTTTGCGTGGGTGCAGCGCAGGGACACAACATTCCAGCTGTGGTCTAAGGCATTACGGGTTGCCTCGATATGGCCAATGTCAGGCTTTGCGAACCGAGCAGTTCACAAAGTTTGGCATCGGCCTGTCTCGAGTTGATTAATTTTCAGCATGGCAGAAAAAGTAATCATTTATTTTCCTAGAAAATTGGGAAGGACACTGCGGGACAAGGGTAGCTTTGCAGTGCTCGCCGCTATACCTACGCGGGATAAACGGGAATAGGTTAGTGGCGAGTTTTTGCTGCCGGGCTGCGTCATACAATTCTCAGTCAACTCTACACAGCCGTTGAACCACTTGCCTTTCATCGTTTGCTATGTCTATGATGGGTAGTGACAATCAACAATGAACTTACAAGTGAAAAAGATTGGAACTTATGGTGCAATGAGTTCTCTGGCAGGCGTTTATGTGGCGCGGCCACATTGCCATTGGGCACATAGGCTACAGTTGACACCCAGGCGCCGCCTATATTTCGGCCAGATAACTCGTCCGGGGTCACGGACGGTGGACTACAAATTGCTACGGTCACATTGCATTGGGCGATGGGAACTGTACTGACCACTCAAGGCGCCGCCTTCTATTCGCGTCACTTAACTCGTTCGGATCACCGAACCCTTGGATTAACGCGGGATCTATTCACAGTGGAGCGCGCCAAAGACTGCAGATGCTTCCCAAGTTTTGCCATTCTTGACGTCCGACTTCTTCCTTGCCCTGATCGCTCTTCACACTTCAACTATTGGAATGACTGTGAAGTTACTTCGAAGTGATTGCGGCACGATCATTTTTGGAGTTGTGGTACATTGCACTTCACAGCAACTTGCAGTATGTGATAAAAAATTCCCAGGCGACGTGAGTATTAATCAGTCCATTTTGTTCGGAGAACAGAGGGTGCTAAGTGGGCTGGGGGGGGGACCACGCGGGGGCGCGGCGCTCTGTTTGTCTGCTCCTCCCAAGGCTTAGTCCGCCGATGGCGCTTATTTCGGAACTGCCACGTGGCGACGACATAGTAACTGCCCCTTGGACTAGCCTCAGAGGGCAGACGAACAGAGCGCGCGCCGCCGCCGCATGGTCCCTCCAACACATCGCCCACGAACAGAGTGTTCAAGCTTTACTGCGTCTTTATTACCGTGCTTTTTGGATCGTTCGCTTCTCTTGAAAACTTTGAGATAAGCATGGGAGTTTCTTTATTTTCGGGAACAAAAAACCAATTTTGTTGGAACTCTTTCTTTTACTATCAGACTACAGGTTCATGAGGTTTCCACCCGTTTGTGCTAGCGGGTGTTGTAGCCACGAGGGAAGTATTACAGTTTGTGATTATATACTATAACATAGAAGGAGATAGGGGACACAATAGGCGAGGAGGTAGCCGAGGTCGGCGAGGCGGGGTCGGCACGGACCGACGGACTAGCTACTGGCTATACGCTGAAGGCGGCTTAAAGCAACAGTCTCGCAGGGTCTGCTTCTTTGAATACTAATGGTACTAGAGGATACACAGGCCCTATTGGAAAACATCTGAAGTAAAGTCATGAAGAAAACTCACCTGGGAAAAGCCCAAGAGATTGTGTCTCCCGCGCATAACGGCGAGGACACGACATCTCCATTCCTTAGCGAATTTGACCTCGAGCTTCGAGTATTCTTCCAATTTGTGTGAATGTCTTACGAGCATCCTTTGCAGCTGTGGAGGACAATACCGACTGATGAATATGACTGGCAAGGTAAAAGTGCTGCGTGAGAGTCATGAGGCTTAGAACATAATATGCTACTTCGTTCACTCACTACAGCACAATCGTTCAATCATTCAGCAATGCAATCAGCAATGGAAGCTACTGCAGTAAGAAATAGTGTCCGTGACGATTATACAAAAATACTTGGCGGCTGGTAAGAAGTCCTGATGCCATTTTTCGAAAGCCCAGATAACTTTCGTTTATTGCCTATACCTAGAATTGCATACGTTGACTATTTATCGTCTGTTGACGTCTTTCTGCCGCAGTAGGTATATATAGCCGGGATGCCTTTTTACCTTTAATCGTGACGTCGATTTCACAAGAGCACCTTCGAGCGATCATCTTCAATGAATGGCGCTGCGGCACAGGAGCAGTGGGAACCGTCAACATTATCAGCATCGCACTGGGAAGGGACACCACTTCCATCATCAGTGCCAAGCTCTGGTTCGCAGGCTTTCGAAGGAGGAGACACGGCTTTCGAAGACACAGACACGAGGTTTAAAGCCCACCAAACAGTAAGAAAACAGTCACCGTCTCGGCGCTGTTGAGAGGCATCCGGAGGTGAGCCAACAAAGCCTGTGAGAAGACTCGGATGCATCCATGCCCAATTTCTCGGTCCCCTCACAAACGGGCCCATCGATTACGGAAAGTGCCGACTCGATGGATCCCTCATGTCTTGACCGATAGCACGCGGTTCAGACGGGTACCCATTTGTCAGTTTCTCCTT